TACTCCTCACCCGGTGGGGATATAAGTCCTACTCACAGTGCAAGGTTCAGCTCAGGCATCACTTCCCTAGAAAAATTATTTATTCTTCCCCACTTCCTCCCTCTTGTTTCCAGGGCTTGAGTAGATTTCCTTATTCATTTATTCAATCAACAAATATTTACTGATTGCTTACTGTTTGCCTGGCACTGGCATATATTAGGCACTCATATGTGTCAAACAAATGAAAGCAGGTATAACAATGAGTTAAAAGGAAGACAAAGTCCCCACTTTCAAAAAAGTAAGAATTCTCACAAGACTGTAAGAAGCATGGCTCTACCTCAGATTTAGCACTTTTAAACATTATTTTTAATGTATCTGTCTCCCACGTTATACTGTGAATTCCTTAAGGATGGAATTTTGTCTTTTTCATTTATAAGTCATTAGTACCTAGCAAAGTACTTTTCATACAGTAAGCACTCAATAAAACACCTGTCCAAAGAGTGAAGGAAACTCTCATATTTGAATTTATATGCTCCAGAATATTTAAGTAAATATTGCCTTAAGTAAGTAAATTGAGGTTTCCTTTAAAGTTTAGATGTAAAAAAAATATATATATATACTACATAGCTCTGTAGTGATAAGAAATGACTAATGTTAAATCAGCATATTTTAATAAGATAGAAAAAAAAGAGTGAATCAAAAATTTAATTAGCATTTTAAAAAGAAATCAAATATAATTGCAAAGTCAAAAAACCCAACCCACTACTCTTTAATTTAAAAAAAAAAAAAAAAAAAACACTAATGACATAGTAAATATTAGATTACATGTACACGATCTTAAAGATACACAAAATGTCAAGTTGCATTAGCTTTACAGGTTTCCTGGTCCTGTCCTTTTAATTAGTCTCCATCCTATACGGTGATACTTTCCTGCTCTTAAGAAGCATACCATTAATGAGAATTTCACTTAACATTTTCATACAGGTAAAATCATCAGTGAACTGCTTCCCCAAGACCTCTGGATAAAATCAGCTGATTAAACACTGGCAGCAATCAGCACAACGTAGAGAAAGAGGCTGATATATTCTTCTAGAATCTGGAGTGGAATTAACAGCTTCCCCAGCTAAAGTAATTCATCCAAGAGGAAAGTTTTGATCTGATCCTATTTTAAAACTTCAACAACAGGGCCATCATGACTTTGCCCTTCAAAGAGCTTCAATAAAGCTAGATGCTAAAATAACTGTGGGAAGAAAAGCCTAGACTCATATCCGAGGAGACAGCAATCTAAATGTCAACTGTTAGAGAGCAGGGAATATTGGGCGAGTAGGGGTAGTTTTATTTCACAGTACCAACATCACATCAGGCACCCCACCTCCCAATCTTGTTCTCCTGAAAGACAATTTTTTAATTACTTTAAATGTGTAAAACTCAACCTTTACTTTCTTATAGGCTGCAACATTTGGTTTCTAAATAAAGATGAACAAACCAATGTTTGGCCATCACTCAAAGAGCCTCACATATTAGAGTTAACAATGGCAGCAATAGGGCCCCAACACTCAGAGCAGAACAATGCTAACATTTTGGGGGTGACCCTCACATGAATCACAGGTTCTGAAGACGCACAACTCTCCAGCTGGGGATCAAGAGGCTAAGGTACATCAGCAGACTCACAATCACTTTCTATACCACATAAGTCTGTTTTTAAAAGGGTGTAGGATGCAGAATCTGAAAACCTGTATGGAGTACATACATGGGGGGAATGGGATGCACAAAGAGCTTTGTACCTCCGAACATTAATGATTGGTGACAATAATATTTATTTCCTTAGTAATTTTTATATTTTCCAAATTTTCTCTAATATCCTTGCATTATTTTAATTATTAGGGAGAAAGAAATCTATACCACATAGTCTACATGTTTTAAAATTCAAAGGTTATTGTAAGAACTATACAAAAGTATGTACAAAGTTTTCTATGTTTGGAGAAATACATTTACACACACAAATATAAAATGCTTTATACAAACTTGGTGGGATGTGAAAAGGAATACAAAAACAATAAACCAGAATATTAATGGTAATTATCTCTGGATAGTGGTACTTCGAGTGATTTTAACATTTTTTGTAATTATATTCTGATCTTTTTTTTTTTTTTTTCTCTTTTTGTCTTTTTTCGTGACCGGCAACGGATCGCAACCCTCAGTGTCGCGCCCGCACCAGACCGGGACCGGCCACGGGATCGCAACCCTCGGTGTTGCCCCCACACCTCGCTCAGCCAGTGAGCGGCCGGTCTGTATGTGGGATCCGAACCCTCGGCGGGAGCGCCGCTGCACTTCCCAAGCGGCGCACTGTAGCAGTGCGCCACCGGGCCGGCCCCTATATTCTGATCTTTTTTTTTTTTTTTCTCTTTTTGTCTTTTTTCGTGACCGGCAACGGATCGCAACCCTCAGTGTCGCGCCCGCACCAGACCGGGACCGGCCACGGGATCGCAACCCTCGGTGTTGCCCCCACACCTCGCTCAGCCAGTGAGCGGCCGGTCTGTATGTGGGATCCGAACCCTCGGCGGGAGCGCCGCTGCACTTCCCAAGCGGCGCACTGTAGCAGTGCGCCACCGGGCCGGCCCCTATATTCTGATCTTTATCCAATGAATATGTATAGCTTCTATAATAATAAGTAATGACAAAAAAGAATTTGATAAATAACATGCGATTTATCAGGTACATAACTTGCTATAAGCAGTCATATTACTGTGGCCACTGTATATACCACTGAAATGTCTGAGAACACTCAAGCCAAGAAGAAACCCTTTGAATCAGCTATCACCCTACTATATAAATTCTACTTTTATTCTGTAAGTGCTTTGAGGGCTCTATTTGGCCAATACTATGACAGATGCTAAAATTCAGAAGTTCTGAGTACTGCAATTTGCCATCTATACCACACAACCCTAAAATCAGTAAAGAAGAGATCTACAAAGCATAATGTACAAACACCAGTTTCTTATGTTAAACAGCTAAACAAAAAAAATAAAATCAGACAATAGACAAGATTTATTAAGTAAAAAGCAAAAATAAGATAATGATATGCTGTTCCAACTATGCCATATTACATATTCTGGTTATTGTTGTACTTCCACATTTTTTGTGAAAACTTTCCTCTTCTTATGCCTTGCCGTGTGCACATGCATGTATGTTTTTAATGAGTTTTTGAGTCTTGCTTTTCTCCAAGAACTAAGAGAAAAAGGCAATGTGTCCAAATTCAGGTGAAGAGAGGTAGAGGAAAGAGAGCTTCAAGGATGAGATGAAAAAGGGCCAAAGCTAGAGACAAAGAAAAACGCCAGTCAAGAATTCTAATCACTGGACACTAAGAATTTTGCTCCACCACCTTCCTCAAAAATGAACATTTTAACCTTCTCCAGTCCATACTTAGCCTTCAACTTGGGAGACTTTAATATATATGGAAATGACCTTTCAACTCACTGGCCTGACATTTTGCCGACTTCGTCAAAAAACCTCTCAGTTTAGAGGCAGAGCAGATGTAATCAACGGAATTACTCAACACTGAACACCTTTAACTCTTACATTAGTCCCCTTTCACCATGACTGACTTTCCTCCCATCTCTCGTATTACCCCAGTTCCACTCAAATGTGTGTGTGATCCTCATGGCAGTTGCCAACAAGCCCACCAACATTCCTCTCTTAATCTATCTATAACCTCTGTTCTTGCTTCACTATCTACCCACACAGTCTGGACCCCGGATGAGTCACTGAAGAAATGGATTCACGACAGATTGACATCCTTTTATTTTCTCTATTTGGCTCTGGTCATAGGCTAGCCTCTCAAAGAAATGACTGAAGTAAAGAGTAGAAGAGACAGAAACTGACCCTTGCCTTATAAAGGTGTAAAGATTCCCAATTGCCTGCTGACCTAGGAACATCTCCATCACTCTCACGTTCCAAGTTCTCCACTATATGATCTCATTTTCCCTCTCCAATTAGTTCCCAGCTGTAGGTTCTGAGAAGTTACATCTGGGTTTCCAGGAAGGCCAAAGTAGAGGCTGAGCAGTCAGAACTCGAGGCTTCAACCACAGCATTTCCATTTTTATCTAACAATGGGACATCATTTAATAAAGTATGTTGAATACAGAAGACAGAACATTATTCGGCCACTGAAAACTACATTTCAGAATAATGTTCAGTGATATAGGAAAATGTTCATGATGATTAATGCTATATATAGCATTATCCTAATTCTTACATAGTAGACCTAGAAAAAAATGTCTAAAGGGAAACACACGCAGTGTAAATTATGATTATGTCAGAAAGACAGACCTATGGGTGCCTTTTAAATTTTTTTCTATTAATAACTCTTTTTAAAAAAAACTTGCTAGGGCCAGCCCATGGCTCACTTAGGAGAGCGTGGTGCTGACAACACCAAGTCAAGGATTAAGATCCCCTTACCGGTCATCTTTTTAAAAAAAAACTCACTTATGTAACCTTGTTTAAAAACTTTTAATTTTAGTTAAAAAAAAAAAGTATTTGTTCTCTTAAAAAAGATTGTTCCCAAAGGCCCTTGCTCTGTATTTTCCCGTTTCTAAAGCCCAGGAAGTGATTGATTCAACCTTCTTCACCTTTGCTGGTGTTCTCCCAGACTAACATCTGGTAGTTTTCAGCAGGGAGAGAAAGAAGGCCACGCTGCTGGCCTCAGAGGTTTCAAACATAATAAAACCAAAAGCAAGGGAGAAACAAACAACATTCCATTCCTTCAGGCATGACACAGGTACACGTATCTGTGTGCTGGTCTTTAATTCAATACTTCTAAAGTAACCTGCCTTAAAGTCCTTCATGGTTAATCTTAACAAATTACCAGCTACTTGTGAAAGGCAAAAATCAAGACAATCTAAGCAAAGACAACATGAACATATATTATCAACTCTAAAAGTTGGCACGCAGTACTCAGCTTTTCCCAAACATTAGTGATTTCCTCATAGGCAAGACATTTCTACTAAATCTTTAATACCCACCAGGTGCTTTGCCTTAGAGCGTTCCTCCTCACTTGATATCCTCTCTCGAAGGATAGCTCTGGTTAACTGCTCGTTAGCAGCAGCCCTCTCTCGCTCCAGCTCTTTGCCTTGCTTTAGTCTGAAAAGACAAAAAAAGTCAAACTTAGAAAAAATATTTTATTAGCTGACATTATTTTGGTTAAATGAAATAATTAAATAAAAAGATAAAAACATACAGCCATACGTGTCAATATCTGAAATCATCTTGGCCCATAATTTATCAAAAGCAGATAAATTAATCCCCATGCAGCCTTTATCCAAGCATTTAAAATAAAAGAATTCAAAAACATGAAGAAGCTTTTTAATTTGGCTGCCAAACATTTCTGAGTTTCACAAAGTTCTTATGGAAAAGTGGCATCTGCCCACCTAAAAATTCCATACCTGGTACATCTATCCACCTCTAGAAATTGAAGTAATAAAACTTATTAAGACATGTGAAAAATATTTGAAGATAACCACATCTTCCCTTCAAAACTGACTAAACTATTTATTCAGTAAATAGTTTACACCAGGCACTGTACTAGGCATTAAGGACACAGTGGTAAGCCAGAAGGGCAGGTCCCTGCGCTTGTGGATCTTAAATTACAACAGGGAAGGCAGACATTTGAGAACTAACAACACAATAAAGATGTCTTTCTTCCCAGTATATCACCCCCATTTCCCAGCAATCCTTTGTGGCTACATCTTTCAACAGCAGGGCTCCATCGCTTCTGGAATGATTCCAACTTGTCCCTTCGCTCCAAACTAAATCTAACAACCCAGACATGGTCTAGCAAAATAAGACAGCACATCCTTACCTCCCTGGATCATCACACAATACTAATTCTATTAAGGAAGCAAAAGATTGCATTAGGTTTATCAGTAGCATCATCACACAATTAGATCATATTAAGTTACAATCCACTAAAACCCTTAACTGATAAAGATAAATAACTTTGGCACCAATTTTTGCCATAGTGCCTGGCACATAAAGGCATTCAGTGAATACTGAATGAAAGAACATTTCAGTCTGATTTCAGGGACAAAGGCTTTCTGATTACCTTTTCTTCTTGGAGAAAATAACCCCTCCATACCATCATATTCCCAAAGGTATAAGCTATACTTTAAAAAGAAAAGGTAAAATTGTTATGTTGGTGTTAAGTCAAATGCTGAGTGAAATCTACTTTGTAAGTGTGAATGATGAGCACCAAATTCTACTCAGTACTAACCTATCAAATTTTAGTTTTAAAAAGATTCTTGAGAAGAACTAAAGAAGATTTTTAAAACTTGTTACTATTTTTAAATTGTCACACCATCCTCATACTCTGGAATTCTCAGAAATCAATTATAGCAACAACAACAAAAAAAATCACCTTGTAAATATGTATGTTCCAACGTTATAATGCTTTACCTCTAAAAATTAAACTTGTGTTGTTTTGTGTCTTAAATAAAGAATACTAACAGAAACAAATTTCAACCTGCACTATGAAATTCTCTAATGCAAAAGTAACCTTTAGGAAACTTCCTAAGAAATAAGCAAGGACCATACAATAAATTTAGCAACATCAACAATATCAGCATATTAACTTCACTGGAAATGTACCAGAGAACAGCAATAATTACAAATCACTCTTCTTTCTTTCTTTTTTTTTTTTTTTCCTTTTTTTGTCTTTTTTCGTGTCCGGCAACGGATCGCAACCCTCAGTGTCGCGCCCGTACCGGACCGGGACCGGCAACGGGATCGCAACCCTCGGTGTTGCCCCCACACCTCGCTCAGCCAGTGAGCGGGAACCGGTCTGTATGTGGGATCCGAACCCTCGGCAGGAGCGCCACCGCACTCCCAAGCGGCGCACTGTAGCAGTGCGCCACCGGGCCAGCCCACTCTTCTTTCTTAGAGCTACAGAATAGTCCATAAGCCAGCAGCAGAAGTACCTGGGAACTTGTTAGAAAGGCAAATTCCTGGACACCACCGCACACCTACTGAATTAGAAACTTCATGTGATTCTGATACATGCTAAAGTTTGAGAGCTCCAGCCCTCAATTACCAAAATATATTTTTACCCAAATAAATCCTGAAAGATATATAATAAGGAAAGTAACATCAAAAGTGAAATGGTCCACATGCACTAACGACTGCTGAGGTTACTATATCAGATTATAAAACCATACATTTTTTTTTTCCTTTTTTGTTTTTTTTGTTTCGTGACCGGCAACGGATCGCAACCCTCAGTGTCACGCCCGCACCGGACCAGGACTGGCAACGGGATCGCAACCCCCGGTGATGCGCCCGCATCTTGCTCAGCCAGCGAGCCGCCGGCCTGCATGTGGGATCCGAACCCTCGGCGGGAGCGCCGCTGCACTCCCAAGCGGCGCACCGTAGCAGTGCGCCACCGGGCCGGCCCCTAAAACCATACATTTAAAGTATTTTTTTATGAGCATATAACCTACACGTAAAAAATAATATCTATTTTACATGTAAGGTGAAAACTAAAAATAATAAAATTAGTATCATTTATGGATGGATGCCTACTGTGTGCCAAGTACTATGCTAGGAACTTTACACGTATATAGAAAACTTTTATTAAAATGTTATTAGTTCAAGAACATAAAATGAATTCTACACAACTAGATTTTATCATATCTACCACAACTGGTGTATCGAATTTTAAAGTGGTGTTTATTTTAACAATAACTGTATATTTTTTTCTAATTGAGTTTACTCATATATGGCATAAATTTCAATTACAAATGGAGTTATAAGTGGTTTAACTTTAAGAAATATAGCATCATGAAATTTTGGCAAGTTAATGAGAAAAAAGCAAAAAAACAACAACAACAACAACAACAAACAAACAAACCCACAAAAGCTTTCAATGTTATAATAAAAACAAAGATTATTCAGCTTGCCATACTTGGTACAGATTTACAAACTCTGGATTTGGACCCCTGAGTCCCAATCAAAGCTCTACACTTACTAGCTGAATACTTCAGTTAACCTCCCTGAGTTCTTTTGTTCTCATGGGTAAAATGGATTGGTGTAATACCTACCTTACAGATTTCTATATAAGCAGAGCACTCAGTACAATGCCCACAATTTAATAAGCACTCAACAAAAGTTAGGTAAGTAGCAGAAAAATAATAGTACCCACTTTGGGGGTCAGGAATACAGAGAAAGCAGTGCTTTTCTGAAATGAAGAAAATCTCCAAATTCACTAAATACACTGTGACCACATAACAGTTTTGTCTTTTCCACTTCTTTTCCAATTTTTCTCCAATAAGAAGTATTTCTTTATTATAATTATCTTCAATGACTTGTAAAATTGACTTGAGCAGCCCTACCTTCTCACACGCTTCTTTCTTTCCTTCCCACTTGCCTATAAGCTCCATAAGGGCAAGAACTTGGTCTATTTTTGTGCAGTGCTATGTCCCCAGCACTTATAACAGTGCCTGCTACACAGTGAGCACTTAAAAATTTTTTGAAAGTAGGCATGCATGTATAAATGAATGGCGTATTTCCAATCAGAGACAAAAATGGTAAACAAGCTACAGAAAATAGAAGACTAGAGGATAGAACAAACCACCAGAGAGACAAGCTAAAACCTACAAGGGCCTAACCACAATGTTATATGTGGCACATATATAATATAATCTCAGACTACACTAAATAACCTACAAAAGAAAGGTGCCACGACACTCCACAGCTTCTGGATCAACAACTCTCTTGGCTTCAGAGAGATTGTCAGCAGCACAAATTGATTAAAAAGAAAATTATTTTCCTTTATCCTTACAAATAGAACTGAACAAATTCTCAAATAGTTTATTTTAAAGGAATGTCTGTAAATAAAATTTTTGTAAAAAGGTTTGTGTATCTTCGGGGAGTTTAGCAGTAGGACCCAGAACAAATTCTCATTTCCTATGAACAAATTAGCTGTAAATTCTAATAAACCTCAGTTTTCTCAGCTTTGAAAACTGAAGGTTGAATTATACAATCTTAAAATCACTCGCAGCTAAACATTTTTTACAAACACCGTACCTTAAATATATTACTCCCTATTCTATAAAAAGCCTAAAAAAAAGGTGGTGGTATGCTTAAAATGAAACGGGGAGTACTATCTCCAGATTTTATACTGCTATAATTTCCACTCAAGGGGCATTTATATTTCTACTCTTATCCTTAGATTTCCTATGACTTGACAAAAACCGTACATAGACAACAGTAAGTGCAATTCAAAAATTCATTCAGTATATAATCACTATTTTGATTGCTGAGAATAAAGTGGTGAGCAAGAGAGACAGTCCCTGCCCTCATGAAGCTTAATTCTAAATGATAAATGCATTCTTTTTAAAAAAGTAAGGTTGCTATAACACGACGTGGATGGGGTTGGTATTGGACTTGATGTCCACAGGACATTAACTCAGCAACATGGGGAAAGAGAAAGTGTGTTAGGCCAAGGAAACATCAATCAGGTCTAGAAGCACCAGGAAAGGATCTCCTTTCATTAATTAGAGTCTTGTGATGGCTTTGTCCCTGAAGCTTAAAATCGCCTATGCAAGGAATTTTACTTTCTTTCAAATTATTTTGGAGAGCACAGTTTCAGATAAATGGTATACCAATTGAGGTTTTGTTTTGTCCAGTGCCTTTAGAAGTAAAAGCAACTTCTAATTTGTACTATTCCTCACTTCCCCAACCCTCCCCTCCCAAAAATTCATCAACAGCAATATTTTCTTCTAATAAGTTTCTTCTTTCACTGATTCATGTAAATCACTTGAGCTACAACCATGTTGCCAAGAAAAACTGCTTATATTTTCAGAAGTTCCCAGTTCTTTTCAAAGCTTCCTGCCTGGTCTTCTCTGTTTTACATCCCATCAAGCTATTCTATTCAACGGTGACCAATAGAGGTCTGTGTGGTCAAACAATTTTTCTCTTTCTTTAAGCCAAATAAGTGGTGACCCTGCTTTCTGGGCTTCTCTGAATGCTACTGCCCCAATGGCAGAGCTATAAAATCAGAAGCCATGTTATTTCATTAACGCTTCCGGGGAAGAAGAGTGAAGTTCTCACCTTACATTTAATGTCCCTGTTAGGTGAAAAGAAGGCATGAG